CGTTCGGATAATAACAATATTATTATACATCGGCGACCGAACAATGTGCGGTAGGTACCTTCCTATATAATTGAATCGCGTGTGCCGACTAATATATAAGTCAATTGTCTATTTTTTATTTTTCATAAATAATATACAATATATACATATCATACGGTATAACAACTCCGGATTCGTTGTTAATGGACGCGGGATAGCTTTTTTTTTTATTTGATTATTGTTATTATTTTTTTTTTTTATATATATATAAACAAATTTGCTGTGCATTTTATGCTGAGCGTAAAAAGTTTGTACGAAATCCACGTCACACTAATAAATACTACCACACACGTTCTACAAAAAMATGTACGTGTGACATTTAGTTACAAACTATTTTTGGGAATATACAAATAAATCAAGAAAAAAAAATCCAAAGAATGAAAAACGAGGGGTTAAGGACATTTAAAATATAAAWGGACTTACTGATTTTTCACTGAAACTGCGTTTCAGTTATTATTCAAAATTTTTTCTTTTCTGTAAACAAAACTGTATGAATAGAAATTTGTTATATTTTCATTAATTTAATCAATGGGGGAAATAATTAAATTCTGTAAATAAATTAAGTTCATAGATAGAAGTTTAAAAATATTTTTCATATAAAAAGAAAAAAGAAAATCACTAACTTTTAATCTTAAATAATCCTAAGCTCAATAGGAAATTAATTTTAATTTTTATCAAAAAAATTAACAATTTGTTTTTAATTGGAAATTAAAAAAAAAAAATTAACAACTTACAAAAGTGACGGGGGGGTGTTGTTGTACACGAGTAATACGCCCCCCAACAAACCTGATCATCTGAAGCGAGGGTGCATCATCGGTGCTAACATTTGAGCGCCTGGGAAGCCCATTGGTCCACCGGGAGCATAAGGATTGACCATCGGTGGGTTAACCATTAAACCTAATACATATAATTCATTGTTTACTCAAAACAAAAGCTTTTAATACAATAGTTAATAACTATATTTTTATATAAATAAATACCTGGATGAATAGGCATTTGAGGTCTCAGCATACTCATAGCATGAGGTGGTAAACCACCTAAAGAAGGTCGTAAAAGAGTAGGCATCTGCTGAGCCATAAAAACAGTGGGAGGCTGGGGCATCATATTAGGCATTGATATAACTGGTGTTGCAAATCTTTGTTGTTGCTGCTGCTGTTGCTGTTGTTGTTGTTGCATAACTGCTGCCATAGCAGCTACTTGTCGTTCCATCTAAAATTATTAAAATAAATTAAAATTCAATTTGGTTGAATTTAACAAATAAATTAATACAAAAAAACATCCTAAATGTTAAAAATAATAATAATAATAATAATAATGATAATAATAATAATAATAATATAAATAATATATGAGTATAAAGCAAAATATATATTTATGAGCAGATGCAAATATTAACCAAAAATACCTGAAAATTTACTCACTTTATATTCACCCAACCTGATAAACTTTTGTATCTTACAACTTATGTATTTTTTGTTACAATCTAACCACGACTGAAGAAAATTTGCATAACAATAAATAAGTGATAAACTAAAGAAATAAAACTGTCCTAAATTCACCTAAAAAAAAAACCTGTCCTAATATTCACATTTTTTGTACTTACAAAGTCAGTCCACTCAATTAAATCTACTTTATGATTTTAAGCAGTTTCAGTYGTCAACAGGACATTTAACGGACCTTGAATGGTTAAGAGGTGGATAACCTCTATTAAGAATTAGAAGCTGGAACCATATGCTTAAATATTCTCTACCTTACCTCATTTTGAATTGCTTGTTGGTGTTGTTGATGTTGGTGATGGTGGTGCTGCTGCTGCTGCTGCTGCTGCTGTTGTTGCTGCTGTTGCTGCTGCTGCTGCTGCTGTTGTTGTTGTTGTTGCTGATGAAGTTGCTGTTGCTGTTGTAATTGCTGCTGCTGTTGATGTTGTTGTTGTTGAAATTGTTGACTTTGAGGAGACACTTGACCATGAGGCGACATGAGTGGTGCACCAAGCTGATGTTGCTCAGTAATATTTGTTGGTAATGGATTTTGAATGTCGATATGAATAGCATACTTAGAAAAGCGAGCTTTATGTTCTTCCTAAAATTACAATTCAAATATTAAGTTATAAATGCATAATCAATTTGTGATATTAAACTTACTAAAGAAATATCTTCTGATGGATGAATTATTTTACTAGATGTCCCAGTAGAACTAATAAGTGATTTTGATTTTGAATCATTATCATTCCTAGAATTTGAACAGTTAAATAATAATCATGTTAAATAGTCATAAGTTAAGACTCATAACTCATAATGTATACCATACTCCTATTTCACGAGAGAAGGAACTTGTTTCACACATCAAACTTATGTCAGCGGTAGCTTAAGGGCAAAATTTCTTCCACWTCTTACTAGGAGATGTGCAGCAACTGATGAAACACAAGTTCCTTCTCTCATTAAGTACATGGAGTATCTAACTAAAGAAATTAATAAGCAATTCACTATGATATGAATTATCCCTTACACTTATAAAKAAAAAATAATGTATATTGCATAGTRTTTTAATTTATATTTTACCCAGAGTATGCAGGAAATGCTGACTTATTTAGGCCACCAACAGGACCACCAGATACCATTGTGCTGTTTGAACGAACATCAGAGTTACTAGCCTAAAATATACAAATGTGTAATTACATTAAAGGTAAATGTAAAGAAATATTCAACTTACAATTGCTGCAGCACTRGGGAATAATGGTTTATTTGCCATTCCCACTGGTTGACCAGGTGGCATAGGACCAACAGAAGGACCCATCATTGGCATTCTAATTAATATAACAAAATAGTTTATAAAATGTAAATGAATTTATTATGAGCAGTGGTATAGTCATATATATACTGTTTTAGATATACCCCAAGTTCCTCCTAATCTTGTCAAATAATAAAATTAGTATAGTTAAAAAAAATTTAAAAAATATTTACAATTTGTACCTAATCAGGTACTATTTTTATAACTGTAAATTTTTAAATAGTATTATTTATATTTTTACAGGTAAGTGTAATCTTAACATTTTTAAATTAAATTAAAATGAATTAATATCAGCAGTTAACAATATGGATAATTTTGAAGTCATCAGCAAACATTAAATTAACATAAATTTTAAAAGTTGTCATTAATAAAAATGAGAAATAATATTGATTCTCAATGGGATCCTYGAAGAACACCTGATATAATACATTTTGCAACACACCAATACTTCTTGTATACTATGATTACAATTTTCAATAAAATAAATAAACCAAGATACAAAACAGGCAACATTAAGGCAAGGAAAAACCAAAAAATAAATTTGGTATTAGATCAGGTGCCAGTAGGATTGGATTTGGAACTAAGAGATTTGAATATTGCAATTAAATAAATTGAAAAGTGGACAGAAGAAAAAGAACATAGGTGAATTATGATGTTTATAATTTACATTGACATAATATTAGTTTTCTATTTTTTACTAGAAAAATATTTATAAAAAGCATTAATATTATTACTATAAATATTTAATTGATCATCATTGTTTAAATGCACACTAYTTAGTAGGACATGATTTAAGCGTTGATCGTTAATGAATTTCAAAAATTGATCAAGTAGGACCTTTAAATTTGCTTGAATAGTAATTAGTAACTAGTAGCTACAAATAAACACAGTAGAAAAAATCAAAAATATAGATAAGATTATATGTTACACGTCATATGTAATACACAGTACTAATATGTAACTGTTAACGGGTATAGGTCTTGGTGAACATTGAATGCAAAACTCAGGTACAAACTACAAATGACATCAAACTTTATACAATTTATGGAAATAAAAAAATTAAAGGTAAAYGATTACATAAATAGAAATTTTAACTTATTCTGAAACAGCCAAATTTATAAAATAGAAAAAAACACTATGTCAGTTGTGTAAAGAATAATGTATTTCAGTTTTTAACCAAAATAAAGGTAAGCAGTGTGATTAAAAAGTATTAATTTTTCTCCTCATTTACAGAAAAAAAAATTAAAAAATTTGAACTTTTTAAAAATAAAACATATTTGGCCTTTATATTATGGATTATGTTTTAACTTTTATTATTAAGTTTTGTAACACATTGTACTTTCAATTTTATAAATCACTAATTATATTCTTGTAAAATGCATCAAGAGGATCGGATTTGGTAAATTGAGTCCTAAATTATTGTTTTTAGGTAAACTGAGTCCTGCCAAAAAAAAATCATAGGTTAATTGAGTCTCTCATAAAAAATGTAAGAGGTGAACTGAGTCCCTAAAACTAAGTCCCTTATAAAATATTTACTCWGTAAATTAATAATTCTTATAATAATTAGTACCTATTGTCTAAATTAATAATAATAGGTAAATTATGTCAACTGTTGAATAAATAATATTATTTATTTATTATTATTATTTAATAATTAATATTGTCAATAATAATAATAGGTAAATAATACTCTTGATATTAAATAGGTAAATATTTTAATGATACCAGCTTAATAAAGTCAAGTCTACTGATTTTATTATTTTTGTACTACGTCATTGGTTCTCTTAGTATGTTCTCTTTTTCTATAATGTGTTTTGATTTTTTACATAATTCTTTACTTCTTATTTGAATATATGTATTAGACTAGATTTCTKTAAGTGCATCAATAAAAATATAAATATTTGGCTGTGAAGTATAAAATAAACTATTCAGTTTCACGTGAAATGAATGATTCACAACTATTTGTTGTACGATTAGATATTGTCAAAAATTATTGTTGTAGAATCTGATGCAATGTATGTTTTTAAAATATAATTGGTAATTAATTTTATATCTTCATTGGCAGGAAGCTTTGGCATAATATCTTTTAAGAAACAGTCATTAACATCTTTCGGACTAAAATGGTAAACCAAAAAAAATAAAAAAATAAATACTTTCCTCTGAATTTCGTTTTTTATAATTTGCACAAGGCATTGTATTATTCTCYACCAAMTTTGCCCAAGGTGAAAACAACAACCTTTAACATTAATTGCTGGCCAAAATGGTTGCGCGTATAGATTTTTCAAAGCCAATAAAAATATATTTTGGTGAAAATGTTAAACCAACAATTGTACACTGATCCACCATATACTTAAAGAATAAAAATAAGATTTGGTTTCAGTGGCGTGTTTAGGATGTGGGCCCGGTGGGCATGTGCCCACCAACATTTTTATATAAATACTAGAGTTATATAGAATAAAAATACTAAAACTTATAAATAGATCAAATTTTAGTATTAGGAGGGGGTAAAACCATTCTGAACTCAATTTTTGTGGCCCATCCACAAAAAAAGTTCCGGACACGCCACTGTTTGGTTTCCTTATTCGGTAATAAAAAAAACTAGTGGAACAACTGGATACATTTCATTTACAAGTGTGTAAATTATAAAGATTTGTAAAAAATATTTGGGACAACTTTTAATMGAACCCTCAACGTATATTGTATTTGCCACATGAAACTTTTAAGTAGGAAGTTTTTGAAAATTCGATAATATTAATATTGTAATCATTAACCATTAGAAAGGGCTCGTCATATTCAATTTAATTATTATTTTATTAACCCTAGATCACACACATTAAAAATATTCACGAGGTTCCACGCATACAGTGTTTTTTACCGTGTATTAAAATATTTCAATTAAAACTTGATAAATTGAAATAATCATTATTTTATTGATTTCGAATAAATAAAAATTGCCAAATGATTTTATTGATACATAATATAAACAAATTAAACTTTGCAGTTACACACAGTATGGCAAACCAATGTCAACTAGCAACAATCTTGCCATTCACAATGAAAATAAAATATTCATTTAYGTTTTATCGATAGRAAATAAYGTSTTATTGGCGATWAKAGAGTTTTAAAAAAAACCCATATTTGAGTTTTCATAAAATTAAATTGTGTATTAATGTCACATTATAGTACGCAYACGGTCTTTTAGACCGTATATTGATAGGTAGTGAATTTTGAACCCTTCTATAGTACAGACATCAAATTKTAACCAGTCAGGAGTTGTATCTAATTTTAGTTTATCATCTAATTAGAAGGTACCTAGATTGAGTTAGGTTAATATTTCGTATTTTTGAAACAATGAACAAAATTCTAAAAGC